GCTGCGTCCAGGATTCTTGGGATTGACATCCAGAGAGATAGAAAACAGTCGAAATTATGCTTATCTCAAGAGGCATACCTACAGAAGATTCTCGAAAAATTTGGTATGTCAAATTCAAAGTCTGTTGTGACTCCGACAAACCCTCAATTTAAGCTGAGTATAGATCAGTGTCCCAGCGTTGATGTTGAAAGAACTTATATGAATAGCATTCCATATGTTAACATAGTAGGTTCTTTGATGTATGTTATGGTCTGTACTAGACCCGACATAGCATATGCAGTAAGTCTTGTAAGCCGGTATATGACGAATCCTGGAAAGGCTCACTGACAAGCATTAAAGTGCATTTTAAGGTACATAAATGGGTCTCTAAATAGAGTCTTAATTTATGGTGGAGCCTTGGGTGAAGATAGTAAAGCAGCAATCGAAGGATATGTCGACTCTGATTATGTAGGTTGTATGGATTCCAGAAAATCTATCTCTGGATATGTGTTCACTATATTTGGGACAGCAATCAATTGAAAAGCAACACTTCAGAAGGTCGTTGCCTTATCAACCACTGAAGAAGAGTATATTGCCCTAACTAAAGTTGTGAAGGAAGCATTGTGGCTTGAAGGTTTTGCAAAGGAGCTAAAACTTCAAGGTCGAGTTATCACTAATAAATGTGATAGTCAAAGTGCAATACACCTGTCGAAGAATTCAGCCTATCATGAACGAACCAAGCACATTGATGTGAGGCTGCATTTCATCAGAGGGGTAATCGAGCGTGGAGAAGTCCAAGTGCTGAAGGTTTTGAAAGATCATAATGCTGCTGATATGATCACCAAGACGTTGTCCAGTTGCAAGTTTTTCCACTGTATGCAGTTAATAAAGTTGCATGAAGAAAGCTAGTTTCTTGATGTTATAGAGTTAGATCCAAGGTGGAGATTTGTGAGATGTTGGATCGATCTCTAGTATGGTCGAAGTCTGTTCGCGAGTAATGCATGTTGTAGTCGGAGTTTGTTCTAACATGCATTAGTCAATATTGCTAGGGTTGTTATCATGTTGAATTGGGTCTTGCTTGTAAGCCCAATTGTTTAAGTTAGCGTGTACCCTAAGTTAGCTTGTAATGGGTAATTGTTAAAAAGCCCATTAGGTTAGTGTGCTATTTTATTATAAATAGGATGCTAGTTTCTCAATCTTGGCATAAGGAAAAATAGGAAGATAAAATCCTAATTTCAAGGGAGAGAGGTTATTTTGTTATTCTTGTATACTTGTAATCTTGTTCTAAGAGAAAGGAAAGAATAACAGTTTAATAACCAATCCTTGGTGTTCCTTGTTGTTTTACCTTGTCTTCTTTGTTAACCCTAACACTTGTGTGTTTCTTGATCATTAAGAAACCGTTTTATACTTTGTTTAAAGACATCTGATTCACAACAGATGACTTAATCATGAGATCACATTCACCATAAGGGCATTATTCTTTAAGTATCTATAGTCAAGCTTTATTATGATGTGGGATAACATTAAAGCATTGGGAGTATTATGTGGATAGGTTGATGATCATATTTCACATAGGTATAAATGTTAGGAGTAATATTTAAACTAGATTTACCCACCATGAGAAAACTACATAGAATATCATGCAAAGTTTCATAAGTTATTATCAAGGTGATAGTAGTGTATATCACCCGTCGACTTGAAACCACTATAGACCCTAGATGTGGAGTCGAGTGTTTTATTTCCAATCAAACATTATATGTAATAGCATGGCAATAAAGATGATTGATGAATACTCCTTAATGTCACGCAGGATTAGTACAACGTAATTGAATAGACAAATAACACAATAAGATACAATGTACTTAAGAGAATTATGGAACACCGTAAAGTATGGTGCGCTTAATTGAGTTGTAGAACACCGTAAGATACAATATACTTAAGTGGAATATGGAATATTGTAAGGTACAATTAACTTAAGTGAAATACAATGCACCGTAAGGTATGGTGCACATAAATGGGGTTTTTAAACTTGTAGCTCATACAAGTGGTTCTATAAATAGAATCCTTGTGTAAAAACTTTTTCACTTGATTAAATTCGGTTTTGAACCCTAGTTGTATTCTCTCTCTCTCTCTCTCTCTCTCTCTCTCTCTCTCTCTCTCTCTCTCTCTCTCTCTCTCTCTAAGATCTTCATTTATAGCCGTTAACACTCAGATTTAAGGCACTTTGTTCGTGTGAACAGGGTAGAGGCATTGTTCTTCATTAGACACTTGTGACCGTTCACCCAATTTTTAATCAAAAGTTTTAATTGCTACAAGAGATAATCATATCTATCACTATTCAAGTTCATTTGTAAGTATCAAATTAAGGAAAACTACCAATGCGGTAAGGGATCATGCACTTAAGTGAAATATAATACACTGTATGATATGGTGCATTAAGTGAGATTTTTCAGCTAGCAACCCAGACAAGTGGTTATATAAGCAGAACACTTGTGCTTAAACTTTTTCATTCAATGAATTTAGGTTTTGAACCATGGTTGTATTCTCTCTCTCTCTCTCTCTCTCTCTCTCTCTCTCTCTCTCTCTATATATATATATATATATATATATATATATATATATATATATATATATATATATATATATATATATATATATATATATATATATATATATATATATATATATATATATATATATATATATATATATATATATATATATATATATATATATATATATAAAGGTCTTCATTGTAAAATCTAGCACTGATATTGAAAACACTTTGTTCGTGTGTATTGAGTAGAGGTGTTATTCTTAATTCATCATTTGTGATCATTCATTCAATTCTACGTCAAAACTTTTGATCGCTACAAACGTATCAGTTTCTACGTTAATCATGTTCATTTGAAAGTGAATACTCGTGAATTATTATCATAAAAGTAAGGTCTTATCTTGATTTTCAAGATCAAAATGATAGTTACTCAGATACTAAATGATCCGTCTATCTTCTTACGTCTCTCGCCAAGATTGATTTTCTTATATCTTTATATGATATTCTTTTACAAGCTTCAAAATGTATATTTAAATGTTTAGTTCCATCATTTCTTCTATATGTCAAAACTTTGTTGCAATAATTACATACACCTTTTTCCTCCATTTATTATTTTTATTTTGAAGTGGTTCTAAATGAACGACCTCAATTTTCTTTTACTGTCTTTAGTCAATTCATAAGCGTCAACATCGCCAATAATAAGAGGAACACTATCAGATGAGGTTTGAGATTGATCTTTTCCGGAATTGTCCACACTATTAATAAGAGTGTTTTAGGATTGTATGGGAGAAGAATTATTTTCCAATTCTCTTAACTGGGAGAAGATCAATTATGGTTTAACAATAGCAAGATCCTAAATAAAATTATAAATATATATTTACTTGCTGGTTAGGGTGGGTAGAGTACTAGAGTGTTTGTACTCGCACCAATACTCATTTAAATTTGTGGGTAATTATCTAAGTCTGCGTCGATACCCAACAAGTGGGTATTTACCCTATCCATTGTAGATAATTTTTGTGTGTGTCCAATAGACTTGTGTCCAATTGTCATCTTTGATGTTAACTATTACTCCTTCTGTCTTATTAAAAGTGTCTCATTTACATTTTTTTTCTTTGTTTTAATATAATTGTTTTCTTACAATACCAGTGCAACATTATTTTTTATTATTATATCTCATATTTATCAACTTTCATTTTATTCAGCTACTCTATTAACTATTAATAAAAGTATTTTAATAAATGATGTTAATTTTATCATTAAAATCAACTCGTTTAATCATTTTCTTAATAATCATGGATTGCTTAAATAGAATAATTTTTTATGAGACGGAAGGCATAACTTTTAAAAAATATTAATTGCAATTTTGTTATTGTTAAAATTATTCTTCTTGTCCCACAATGAATGACTCAGTTGATCATTTCACATATATTAATAAAAAGAAATAAATAAAAAAGAGAGAATAATATTTTTATTAAAATACCCCTTATCAAATATTGAGAATGATAAAAATAATATAAATTAGATAGTATAATTGAAAAAGTTGTATTAAAAATTAAAATGAATCATTTATTTATTTTAAAACATTTTAGATGGATTACTCATTGTATGCAATCAATGCAATTTTAGACCTTGTTGAGATCAAGAAAGATTTTAAAAAAGTTTACGATCGTAGCTCAAATTACAATGGCAAACTTAATAAATTAAATTATTTTTTTCCTATAACCACCTGAAAAGTTCTTCAATAGAACTCATAAACTGAAGATAGTATTCAAGTGTTGTTCAATCCAATCCTCCTTCCTAAAGCATAATAAAGGCAAAAAGTTATTCAAATTTCTATTTAAATAGCAGATAAAAAAATTGAGTCCTACAGCAGTAGCTATAAGAACTAATGTATCAAAATTGTTCATTTAATATTCATACAATTTTTTGTACTGTTCATATAAGCTTGTGGAACAAGAATTTCCACAAGATGTCATCAGAGCATTTTCTGAGATGCTTCAGATTGCTGTTTTTTTTGTTTAAGGAAATGTTATCATAAAAATGAAAAAGATAGAACAAGCAAGGAGGGATATAAACCAAAACTCAAGCACAGACAAGTACTTGGATTGGACCGCAAAATTGTAATGAACATAGTGTGTATACATATATTACATAGTATAATAACAATAGATTTTCTTCAGGATTTTGTAAACAAAACAGGTAACAAAGTCGGCCAACTTCGGAGTTCAAAACAATTCTGACAATAACAACAATCCAAGACTTTTATCACTATGCTGTTGAGTGATCGGCTATATGAATCAACTGACAACATTATGCTGTATGATTTGACCTATAATTTTCATCGAAAAACTATCCATGTGCCATTAAAAGAGAAAAATTATACAGTTTTCTCATAGTCAGAGTTGTCTCCCTGACTCCGAGTAAGACAATCAAAGATGCCTAATCTTTTGACAGAATTTCAGCAACCTTATATGTTGTCTTCACTGTTATTTTCTTTCAAAAGAGGGGTCTGGTTGCCTCTTGATTCCAAGCTTATCGCTTCAATATCTTTTGATTTCCCCCACAATACAGAATAAAACCCAATAACAATAACAGTAGCACCTATCAAACTGCATTGAAAAACAACATTAAAATTTGTGTTTAGATCAATAAACTCAACGGTGACACGAGGCACACAACCCACCTTCCGAGATAGAATGCATCACCAAGGAAGACAACGCCTATAACCACCGATATGACAATTCCTATAGGCTTAAACATGGAAACAAAAACAGGTCCTGTCTGGTGCAAACACCAAGTAGTCACACCAACTTGAAATGCGGAGCCAAACACTCCCTTGCAAATATTTACCAGTCAAGTTTCAGATACACAGTTACTAGTTTAACTTAACTTGTACGTCAATTAAAATATACATTTTGATTACCGAGTATAAAACTGATAGCAACCTTAGCTTGGGTTTCAAGCTCCAAGCATTGATGTCTCTCTCCACAACCAAACAGGTCACGGCAGATAGAATGGCCACAAAGAAACAATAAAAGAATACAACAATCAACCCGGCTGGATATTTCTTAAGAATAGAAGCCTGAAATAAAGCCAATTAGGCAATCACAAAACAATGGTGCCATTCAATGCAAGTAGAAATTGAAGATCATGAAATCTCTACTATTGCTTGTTAACTTCACCTGTACTATTATAAACGCTGAAGCCACCACACAATCAGCTGCAAGAAATGATCCTCCGATTATCCAACTAGTATCTTGTGAGAAAGCTAGCTGCTGAGATAAGTTTGCGGATGATGGTGCCTTCAGAAGTGCAGCACCCTTGTACAAAGTCGCAATAAAAGCACCGGCAATTGATACTATTGTTCCCAATGATTTCGCTAGGCTGCTATAGCTTCTCCAATCTAATTGCTCCATTCTGAAACCACAAAATGAGATAAGTTTAGACAGATGTATGAGTTGAAATGCAACAAAGGATAATGAACATGAAAATAACCACAAGGAATAACAACAAAGGCACAAAAACAAAAATGACTAATGCTAACAAAAATTATATACCCTAATTTTACTTTTCCACAATATTAAAAAAAAAAAATTGTTGTTAGTATTTCATTTATCATGATTGAATTATTATTTCACATACACAAAATTAATGGAAGAGCATAAACCTAAAAAGAACGGCAAGTATGAAGGTAAAACCCGGAACAAGATTGAGCATGGCAGTAGCAAGTGTTGATGAGCTGTAGTAAATCCCAGCATATCCAAAAACCTGCGCCAAATACCTGAAAATAAATTAAAAAAACATAACTCCTCTGGTATTAGCATAAGCAGATAGTGGAAAAAGAGGGATGAAGTTACCCAAGTAGTCCAAGTACGAAGAATCCGGAAAGGGTGGAAAAGGTGATTGGAGGACGTTGAAATCTGTGGATATAGAAGGAGGATGGAAGAAGGACAAGGGCAGCGATGGAATTGGAATAGAAAATGAAAATGAAACTGGTCATTCCTTGTGCCATGACTTGTTTGCTTAAGATGATTAGCGCAACTTGAACACACTCTGCAATTATCATCCCTACAAAAGGAACGGTAACGTTCCCCATTTTCTGACTCTGTTGTTGTTGTGTTGTTGTTTTGAACTCTCTGTTTTTTTGTTTGTTTGATGTTTAATTCAGATTTGTTCTGTTGATCGTGGGAAGAAAACAAAACAAAATAGACTAATAGAGTCCAATAAGTGTGTCGGACAATTTGGTCTTTCATTGTGACCCTCTTGATCAAATTACTAGTTCAAAAGTCACTAAATATTATTTAAGATTTTTTAATGGGTTTTAGTTATATGTCTACTTTCGTTGGAATGAACTTATACAAAAAGTAAGACCAGATTTTTTGCTTGAAGTATCTTGTCTTACTTTTAAACTAGATACACAATTTTAGGGTGAACTCTAGGGGCGAGCGTTCAATTAGATTGAATAAATTATTTTGATCTACTATAGAGTAGGTAAGAACATGTTAGTGTGAAAAAAAATATATATTTTCAATCATTATTTGATTATTAAAAAAATTATTTTATCTGTCTCAGAATTATTATTGTCATATTTAAAGTTTCACTAGGATACTGTAATAGAATTTAATACATTGGATATTAAGAAAATTTTGATTTTGATTTTAATCATTTATAAAGTAATGTAAAAGGATGATGGTGATGCATTAACAATGTAAAATTTACTGTACAGTGTAATTAATTTTATAAAAAAATTGTAATTTTATCAAGTTATTCTTATTAATTATTAATATATTTTAATTTATTAATGTAATGTAAAAAAAATTAAGAATAATAATAATTAAAGAATTGAATTTAAGATAAGATTTAATTGAAATACACTAACAGTGTAAAAAAATTTTACACTGTCAATTAATTATAGACGTTGAATGTAAAAAAAAAACTTGACTTTTATTTTAATAATTTGTAAAGTAATACAAACGGATGATAGTGATAAATTGATCGTGTAAAACTTTTTACACTGTCAATGTATAGTAATTAATCTCTTTAAGTAAAATTTAAAGTTACATTGAAAGTTAAATATAACATTTATTTTAAGACAAATTATTTTGAAATGTAACTGTTATTTTGAGGAGACGGAGGTTGTAAAATTTATTCTTTATATTTAATGTCAAGTTTATTTCTATTTTCTCTTCAAGCCTTACAATTCGTCTTTTCTTTTATCATTATGTGAAACTTCTCTTATTTCCCTTCTACCCTATTCATCGGAAGCAACACAATTCATAAATCACATTTATGATAAATATGTAATTATTTGTGTTGAATATGTTTGTTGTATTTGATAAGTGTCGAAGTAAGTACCTGTTAAAGGAGTTAACTTCGACATGAGTTGAACTTGGTAACTTTGTGTAACAGTTGAGTTAGTTATTTTGAGATTACTTTGATTGCAAGTAATCTCATTATAAGTAGAAGGAGACTCTATGTAAAGACATATAGATCACTTTGTATACATTTTTCATAAATATAGTTAAGTGTTGTTGCTCAATAAAATACATTCTTCTTCTTCCTCTAAAATTATGTATTTGTAAAACTTATATCTATTCTCTTACATCTCTTCAAATCTGTGTACAAAGTAGAATCATCTTGCAACTAAGGTGTGGTTGATTCACTGAAGTAAATGGTAGTCGTGATCAATCAGAAAGATTGACACCAAGATTGAGGTTTAATTTCAACATCTAGTATCTAGAGTACTGTCTACGATTCATGGGAAGTATAAAATAATGAATTCTCATCCGAGTGGACATTTTTCAACAAATCTTCTCATCTTGAATGACAAGAATTATTATAATTGGTGTAAGCAGATGAAGATTGTCTTCTGTTATCAAGACGTTTAGGATCTTGTGAAGAACGAAGTAACACCAATTGATGAGATTACCACAGATGAACAAAAGGATGCACATAAATATTTGAGGAAGAAAGATTATTAAACTCTCTTTTTAATCCATCAATGCATTGATCCAGACAACTTTGAGAAAGTTGGTGATGTAGACTCATCAAAGGAAGCCTGGGACATCCTGGAGAAATCATTTTGACGTGCTGAGAAGGTGAAAGAGGTGAGGCTACAAACTCATAAAAGAATGTATGAAATGCGTCAGATAGAAGAAAACAAAATTATAATTGATATCTTCATCATAGTAATGAGACTGGAGAATAAAATCAAGATGTGTGGAGAAGTGTTGACATCAAGATCAGTAGTTTCAAAGATCTTGATGTCATTACTTCTAAAGTTCGATCATGTGATAGTAGGCATAAAAGAATCGAAGGATTTGTCAAGCATGATAATAGAAGAGCTTCAAGGGACGCTTGAATCTCATGAACAAAGAATGGTCGAAAGGTATGCAAGTAAAACAAGGAGCGATGTGGCTCTAGAGACATACTTAGCTAAAGATAAGAAATGAAAAAGGAATTTGGAATGGAAACAAAGGTATATAAGGCTATAAAAATTTGATTGGTAGATAAAACCAACAAAAAGGTAGTTCATCAAATCTGAGACAATCCTCAATCCAAAGCAATCACGGAGGTGGTACTATAGGTAGAGGAAGAGGCGATGGAAGAAAACCTAAAAAAATCCATATTCATTGTTATAACTATCAGAAGTATGAACATTATGCAAGTGAATGTAGAGGAGGCAAGAAATAAAATCAAGAAAGTGATGCAAGACTTGCAAAACACGAAGAAGAAGAAGAAGAAGAAGAAGAAGAAGAAGAAGAAGAAGAAGAAGAAGAAGAAGAAGAAGAAGAAGAAGAAGAAGAAGAAGAAGAAGAAGAAGAGGTGTTGTTGGTGGTCACAACAAAATATGGAGAAAGATTCAAGGGCCAATGGTACTTTGACTCAGGCTGCTCATCACACATGACTGTAAGGAAAGATTGGTTTGTCGACATAAGTCCCTCGATGAAAAACAAGGTGAAATTTGCAAATGACAATACCTTGACTGATGAAGGTATTGGTGATTTCATTTACAATTATTCGATCCACATCCACTTGCTTATTTCTCAAGATGAAGTATAAGAGATAAGCAATTTCAAGAGGAATGAAGGATCAAAGCATCCTTGGTTTTATGTTGTAGAGGATCAAAAGGAGGATGATTTGTGCAACACGCCTCATGTCTTCCCTAAAATACCTCAGAGCAACTTCAGATGCATTCAATTAACATTGCGTCCTTCCAACACAATATGGTTGGATACCTCTGCAATATTCCATTGTCGATTGAGACTTTTGGTAAATTCACACAACTCTCCTTCTCCTAGGGTGAGAGGGTTCCATAAAATCTCATTGATCTTGTCCCAATCGAATCTCAAATTCCTTCCTCGCACCATAGCAGTGAAGATGAAAGGTTCTTCTTTAGATGGAAGGGAATTTTGCATAGAATTCCCTGACCACATCATAGTTAATGTATTTCGGAGGATCAATAACTTCTCCCCATTTCTTTGATTCAAAAACATGTGCGACTTCCCTAAAAGATCATTCCCTAATAATGTGGAATTCCTTCTTAGACCATATCTTCATTTCCTTTAATTGATTGAACATTTCTTCTTGTTCAACTCCGAGGAATCAGTTAGCTTCAAATGTTGTTGGTTGGCGTGAGATACTGCCTTTCATCTTTTGCTTCTTCGATATTGTTGCGGTGAAAATTGGATATCAAGCTATTAATTTAACTTGAATCTTAATTCTTTTACAACCGAACTTTATTTTATCCAAAGGAAAGGTCTAAAGAAAGAAAAACCTTTTTCGCGATGTAACGACAACGCTTAAGAGATTCGGGGATCGGGGGTTGGTTATACCTAGGGAAGGTGTTAGCACCCTAAGCATCTGTAGTACTCTACAAGAACCTTTTGTTTGATTGCTTGCTAAGTTTGTGAATATGTACTATGGATATGAATTAGGGATAAGTAAAGACCTAAATGGTTTTTTAAGTTTGCTCGCAAAGACATCGCATCTTCTGCCTACGTATCCTAACTAGGATAGAATCAGAGCAATCATAGTTCACCTCACAAGGGAAGAAGAACACTTGATTATGATCAAGGTTCAAGGGGGAACAAAACATGACAATGTTTGTGTGGAGTTCGACAAAACTCCCTAATCTAAATTGTAACACTCAAAAGGGGAAGTAAGAAATCATGACGATGATTCTTACATAGAGTTGACAAACTCTATCCTAGGGTTCTAGTTGAAGAACACTCCTAGTACAGGTAGGTTTCTTAGACTTTGAAGCAAAGTCTAATGGTTTCTAAACTAAGGTTAAAGTGACTTAACAAAGTCAAGGGAATGGGTGAATGAGTTATCCATAACATAAGGGTTATTGGAAAGATCTTTTCCTTTGGAGAGGGACAAGAGAGGCAACTTGGATGAGAGCTAACAAGCTTCATCAGTTGGGGAAAGAAAACTTTGAACAAGACAACAACATAATAAATATGCATTCATAGTGACAACCATTAGGTGAGCATGTGAAGTAACAAAAATGAAGATGCATTGGTGACAAACACAACAGTTGATTAAGCAGGAAGTGTGACAACAGATCAAGCTTCGGTGTGTTTAGCAGATGAAGTAAAATGAACATGGTAACAACTAAAGATGGAACCCTAGCATGTTAGTTAACATTTAAGAACATGAATGCAAACAAGTATCACAATCCATCACAAGTATATCAAAAGAAAAATTCACCTGCATACGCGAAAACGATCACAGAACATAGATAACTTGCACATAGTCAAAAGAGATGAAAAATTAGGCAAACATGGAAATAAAAAATATGACATGAAAGTAGACATCAAGATGAATAAAATGCAAAACGAATGGGTGGAAAATGATTAAAATTGAGAGAGATATGAATTTTTGAAGATGGGATGAAAAATGACAAAAATAAATAAAAGGGTTGCCCTCCTCAGGGGTCGAACCCAGGTTCATGGCATGCAAGGCGTGTTTTGGCTAATGTTCTTACCACTGGGGTGGCTATACATCTGTTATGTAAAGCCACCCCATAAATATATATGGTATAACTTCAAAATGAATCTGGGCAAACATGAAGAACCAAGACCAAGCACA